GTGTGTGTGTGTGTGTGTGTGTGTGTGTGTGTGTGTGTGTGTGTGTGTGTGTGTGTGTGTGTGTGTGTGTGTGTGTGTGTGTGTGTGTGTGTGTGTGTGTGTGTGTGTGTGTGTGTGTGTGTGTGTAAGTAAGTAAGTAAGTAAGTAAGTAAGTAAGTAAGTAAGTAAGTAAGTAAGTAAGTAAGTAAGTAAGTAAGTAAGTACGTGAATCGCTAATAACTTTTGAACGGTTGAACCGATTTCATCGCGGTTGGTGCCAGTCGAAAGTGCTTCCCTAAACTTAGATTCCCTGTTAATTTAAATCGATTCGGACCGATAGATTTAGGGAAATTTTGAGAAATCTCAAAAAAAATCGAAAAAAATTTTTTTTGAAAGTGGTTTTTTTGGAATAACTTTTAATCGGCTTCATTGATCAACTCCAAAAACTAATCCGCCCTTAAGCTTGAAAAACCGCTAATCCGTCAAAATCGTTTGATTCGTTCGAGAGATAGCGTGAACGAAAGAAAACCGAAAAAAGTGTTTTTTTCACATAACTTCGACATTTCTTATCGGATCATTTTTGGTGAAATAGAATAATTTTTAGAGCTCAAAAAACCGCGTTGATCGCCGCCAAGAACATAATAATCGGTTGATTGGTTCGAGAGATATCCTCGACGAAATATTTGGAAATAAGGATTTTTTCAACATAACTCCGACATTTTTTGGAATAACTTTCAAACAGCTCTACCGATCGATTCCAAAAACTAATCAGCTCTTAACATCAAAAAACCACGTCGATTGCCACCAAGCTGGTCAAAATCGGTTGATTCGTTCGAGAGATATCGTGATCGAAAGAAAACCGAAAAAAGTGTTTTTTCGGGATTACTCCGAAATTTTCGGTTCGATCAATTAAAACCTGAAAATAACTTATGAGGATGATAAAACTGCGTCGAATGACGCCAACCGCGTGAAAGAAACTGCGCCAAACGCCGCCAGATTCGTCAAAATCGGTTAATTTGTTCGTGAGATATTTAATTTTTAAGAAATAAAAAAAATGCTTTTTTTAATGTAACTTGTTCAATTCTTCATCAGATCAGATTTCTTTCTGAGAGTTTTCGTAAAGCTCTATTAACAACGCTAATTACCGCCAAGCACATCAAAATCGGGTGATATCATCGATAGTTATTGCAGTTCAAATATATTTGAAAAGGGTCTTACTGAATACAAACTAAACTTTTGAGTTTAAAAGCGAATAACAGTTCTATCTTGAAGCTCGAAGAGCTCAAAAAACGTCGTAATAGATGAAATTTTGAACACTGTGCATTTGAAATTAACATTTTACTTATATTTTAAACTGTCAATATTTATTAAATTAAAGAACAAAATTCCATTTGCCTAATGAATTAGCGTACGTCGAATAATTAAATTGATAAGAAAAATATTAGATTAAAAAAATATAAGTGATCAGATAATCTCATAAAAGTTGACGTAAATCTGTTTTAAAAACTGAGATTTAGGTAAAGTATGTACACTCAGTGAACATTCACAGTACTTTGACTTTCAAGCCAAAAATTTAAAATTGGCAACAATTTTTGAATAAATCTTCTTTTTTTTTGTTTCAATAAATTTTTAATGGCTATGAATCAATAACAAAATCTAATTACATCTATTTTCGAAAAAATAAACGAGAATGTTGCAATCAAAATAAAAATGGGTTGATTTGTTCCAGATATATCGTTGGGAAAGATTGTTCACTTTCAAGACATATTTATAATAATAATAATAATAATAATAATAATAATAAATATTTTATTGAGAATACATTAATATTATTACACTTTATTTGTCCAGTGATGATTGAAACTTTTTACAGTAGCACATAGCATTCAGAATTGTTTTCAATACATCATACTGTTATAACTGTTACATATTTCAGATCACTTAAAACAGAATCTTGAAAATTATGTTAGTACCTTACCTGTTCCTACGTTCGTTTTACGTACAGGAAAACGCTCTGGATTAATTAGAGCTAGATTACTAGGGGCTAAGCATGTAAAAGGACAAGTAATAACTTTTCTTGATGCTCATTGTGAATGTACTGAAGGTTGGCTTGAACCTTTGTTAGCAAGAATTGTAGAGAATCGATCAACTGTAGTTTGCCCAATAATAGATGTTATAAGTGATGATACATTTGAATATATCACCGCCAGCGACATGACATGGGGAGGTTTTAATTGGAAACTCAATTTTAGATGGTAACTACTTTTTCTTTCTTTAAATAAGAGAAATTTTTGCATTATAAATTTTTTATTTTCGCAAGGATTTTTCTATCGACTTTAATCATTGTCAATAACTGGTTATTTTCATCCAATCAGGTACCGTGTAGCACAAAGAGAAATGGATAGACGTAATGGAGATCGAACTGCACCGTTACGAACCCCTACCATGGCAGGTGGTCTATTTTCCATTGATAAAGACTATTTCTACGAAATAGGAGCATACGATGAAGGAATGGATATTTGGGGAGGTGAAAATCTCGAAATGAGTTTCAGAGTAAGTTATAAGTTTTATCAAAGTTTTTATTATTATTGTAAATAGTTTAATATAATAATCATTATAGATGTTAATTATTATCGTTTATTCCAAGTAGTACTGATACTTGTAAACGTGCTTTGACGAAAAATTAATTATGAAAGATTCTTTATTTGCAGCATCTAGAATAATATTTAATGAGCCTTGGATATTTTACTTTAGTTTTTTTCCAAGATTTTTTGCAAAATTTTCAGTTGATTTTAGGTATGGCAATGTGGTGGTACTTTAGAAATCAGCCCATGTTCACACGTAGGTCATGTTTTCCGTGACAAGAGTCCGTATTCATTCCCAGGTGGCCTCCGCAAGATCATACTTCGCAATACTGGTAGGGTAGCTGAGGTCTGGTTGGATGAGTGGAAAGAATTTTACTATTTGATGAACCCAGGTTAGCTTATCATGATCGAACAATAGGAATAATTAAAAATTATAATTATAATATTAACATTATTAAAATTTTAATAATTTTTCTAAATACTAAAAAGTAATTTTAATTATGTTGCTTCTAACATACAAATTATGCATAAGTTGCATGAATTTCATAATAAGTGAAATGATGATTACTACTTATTTAGAGATAGTCGCTCAAGCAATAATAATCATTAGACGGGTATCTGAAATTTAAAACCTATTTAAGTATAATTTGAGCGAGTATTTCTTACATGAGTAAATAATACTAAACAGGATGTATAACATAAAATATATTTTTTAATTTTTCAGGAAACAAACGCTTTTTCCATTTCTTATATGCTTTCTTTTTTCAATACAGTGTATTACATACATTTAAAAGTCAGGCTTATAATTAATTAACTTGCTATTTTTTTGACATCGTCTTAACCACTCATCCATCCAACCGACTAACACCTATTTGTAGCCTCAATAACAAATTTATTCATTACAAATTAGTATTTATTTAGGTATAAAAATGCGAATCCGGAAGATGCTAGTTACCTAGCTACCAAATCGTCATCTTTATCATATCTTTATAATTATTATTTTAAGAAATTTCTTTATTGTGTAAACTTTAAGTGCCTAACACACTAACTAAATTGAGTTGGTTAGATATGGATGTGTGGGGGGACATTGGAAATCGCAACATGTTCGCATGTTGGACACGTGTTCCGTAAGTCAACGCCATATACATTCCCTGGTGGTACAAGCAAAATAGTGAACCACAACAATGCGCGGCTTGCTGAGGTCTGGTTGGACCAATGGAAATACTTCTATTACAACATTAATCCAGGTAGACTTTAGTTGCAAAACAGCCTGACAAGGATTTTCAAAAGAAACTATTAATTCACTTCTCAGATATCACACCTGTCTTAACATATCTATACAGCATGTGCCTCATTTCAAGTAGTTCGCATACTCTTTAATTAATTTTCTAATTTGGGAGGACGTATATTTTGAGCTTAAGTATGGTTTATCAGATACCCGTTCAATTTATTAATGAAATTTTTTTTTTTTAAATATGTATTAAACAGAAAATTTAATATAATAACAATCAATAGCTATGGTTGATATAGGTTTAAAAGTAAAAATTCTGACAGACTAGAAGTGACGTAAAACCTATCAGAATCATTACCTTTGAACTCAAAATATCGAATAATAATTTTTTAATATTATCAGTAAAGGTTGGATTGGTAGAAACAGAATATTGAAATTTTCTATTATGTCTGTTAAGTTAGTAAAGCGAGATTATTATCACTAACATGATCAAATAGATAAGATCGCTAATACTTTGACTAATAATTTAGTACCAAAAAATAAAATTTTACGCTTCAAAATATGAGCCAGTTATTAGCCAAAATAAGAGCGATTCTAGTTATTTGGTCAGACTAACCTAAAAAGCGGTTTATTATCAACAATTTAACCCTTAGATGGCACCTAAAGATCACTATTGTCTCGGCACTTTTGTAAAAAAAAAAGTTAATTTCTCACTTTACTTGTAGTCTTTTAATTTTTTAACTACTTTAAACATTAAAATAATTATTTGCTACCTGTTTTATAGTATAAAAGACACTGAAGAATTCTCAAACTAAATTTTTAAGCAAAACATTAAGTAGTTTTGTAGTAATAAATAATTTTTACTTAGGATTATAGTGACCCCAAGGTGCCAGCAATGTTATACCAACTAAGGGTTGACAGTATAAAAATGCGGGTAACACACATAATAAAAGATATATATAACAATAATATATAGAACAATTACAGTTCTATAATTAAAAGCTTTTCACAACGTTTATGTACAAATATCAATTCGCAAGTTGATTTTTTTTTTGAAATTTTTACTTCTTCTAGAAAGCAATTAAATTCAAGTAATAGAAATTCTGATGCTCTATAGTATTTTTAATTAAATACACATGTGAAAACGAATTCATAGATATAGAGAAAGTGATCACTTCAAATTGTGTGAAAAAAAATTGATTAAACTATAGGTAGCCAAGAATTATCTACTTATATACTTACATATAAGAATTATTTAATTATATACTTTATACTTTACCCGAATTAAATATTGCTCAAAAATCCATCTTTCGTGGTTGATATTATAAAAAATTATTTTTTCTTAGTTAGTGTACTGCTATTTTATGTTAATTTGAAGTACATGTTTTTTTTGAATAAGCACATATATAAACATGCACATTTCATTCATATTCTATTAGCATTTGTATGATTATCACATCAATGTACTTTCATTGAGTGTTTTATTTAGGATATAATTATATTCATATGGCTTTTTGCACTATGAGTTCGTAAAAATCAACTTTGCCATCATTATTTATAAAATTTTCTAGCTCGGAACATTGATTCTTTTTACTAGAATCAAAATATTCAAAATATCAGAATGAACATATTTATTAATATCCAAAGTTTGAAAGAATGAATATAAAATATTGGAGAAGTAGAGCTTGAGGTAAATTTTGTAAGTTGAAAAAATAATTTCTTAAAGTAATGAGTCAACTTTCATTTTGTATCAAAACATTTACAAAATCATGCAGAGGGGTGGGGACGAAAAAAAGAAGGTCGAGAGTTACAATGCCGGGGTTGAGAGATTATAATGCGGAGAAAAAAAAAGTGGAGAGACAATAATTTCCCCCACCCTCCCTTGTAAAACACTCTACAGTGATACAAGTAAAATCAACTTCAATTATGACCTCAAAAAAAAACATTGACAAAATCATGATCTGAGGTTTTATATTTGAAAATTTTTTAATATCCTTGAATTTTAAATCATGAATATTTCTACAAGAATTAACCAATTATGATCATTTTTGAATGTATCCAAGGTAATCAAACAATTGGTCCGATAATGATGACCATACCCAATGGAAAATTTTCCAGTAGAAAAAATGGTCTCTTGGTTAAATTTTTTATAAAAATGTCCTATGAAATAATGTTAAACGATAAAAAAATTTTTCTTCTCAACTTTAATTTTTTAGTCTCTTAACTTTTTCGATTTTCTGTTCACTTCGTGGATGAACCTTACGTTATTTGTATTCCTTTTTCTTTAACGTCTTTACCTCAGTTTTAATATTTCTATGTCCCCACAAATTATCTGGATTCCTTTCGTTTTTTTTTTTTGTTGGCTAATTCGGATTTTTAAAATGATTCGACTTTGACAAAAAAAAAAAAAAAAAAAAAATGCCCTGAGCTCAAAAAAATAATTATGGCAAACTTAATTCTATCGATCTCGAAAGTCTATAACGTATTGCTAAAGGCTATTTTGCATTTAGTGCGTTTACAATTTCTACCGATTGGCATAAAAGATTTACTATAGAAAAAATATTAATAGAAAAATCTATAGGATAATCTAACGATTACATTATTTTTACTTTTTTTAAAATTACAGTTGAGGCGTTGTTGAAAAAATTGTCCAGTCCAAATGTACTCATTGATTTTTACTTGATTGCATGGAGCACATTTTATTAAATTTATATTTTTTTTTTATTGCAATGACTAAAAGTTTGATATTTTAGGTGCAACAAGTGTCCCGGTTGGTGATGTATCTGAACGTGTACAATTACGTGAAAAACTAAAGTGTAAAAGCTTCAGATGGTACTTGGAGAATGTTTATCCCGAGTCTCCTATGCCTTTGGATTATCATTATTTAGGTGACATAACGAATCTAGAAATGCGCAACTGTTTAGATACTATGGACAGAAAAACCGGAGAGAATGTTGGTTTAAGTTATTGTCATGGTCTTGGTGGTAATCAGGTTAGTATTCAAAACTTATGACATAATATATTTGTCATAGATTGATTACTTTTTAAAGATTTATCTTTACATATATCTATCACATATTCCTAATATTTTTTAAGTGCAAAAAATGCATCAATCTTTAGTATTTGTAATAATTTGTGTTTGAAATACTATTCCACTTCAACTATTTCATTGACCATGTTAAAAAATAACAAAATCCTCAAGCTTTTTCTATATTTTTTACAAAAAGTATCGACACCGAACTTATGCTTTTAGATATTTTTTTAACTTATTATAAACAAAAAAGGAACTAAATTAAAAAAATAAATTAAAGGAATCGATGATATTTAAATAAATGACATTATTTTTAGGTATTTGCCTACACTAAGCGACAACAAATAATGTCAGATGATATGTGCCTCGATGCAGCAAGCCCTCAAGGCCCTGTTAAAATAGTTCGTTGTCACGGGATGGGAGGAAATCAAGCGTGGTCTTACAATGAAGAGGTAACCTGACGGACTTAAACTTATTGAACCTATGTATCATAATATCTCAAAAATTAAATTTTATTTTAGGATAAAATGATTAGACACACTAATACAAGACATTGTTTATCCGCGCCTCAAAGTGGAGATCTAACAACACCAATTTTAATTTCATGTGACCCTCACAACCTCAGTCAAAAGTGGATAATGGCTAGTAAATTTAAATGGCAAGCTAGCTAATATCAGGTAGCTTACATAGGCAAAAATTTTGCACAACGCTTGTTAATGTATTTATTAAAATCTAATCTGACGATTGACTCAAAAAAAGCTTTTAAAACCAGAACGAAAAATCTAAAATGATTTTAGATATTTTTTAAGTAGCCCGAGTTTTTAAAATATTGTTAATATTTTATTAAGTTGATAAGCTTTATCAGAATATAAATACGGAAAAATAAAAAAAAAAAAAAAATACTACAGTATGAAACAATTACTGCCATTTTATGGTAAACAAATATTATCAAATCTATAGTATTTATAACTATAGTGATCGTTAATAAAAATTCCAATGATCTAATATGATGGCATTTAAGCTAAAGTTATTAAACCATAATGATGAAGCATATCAAACTTCTGTTGAAAATAAATATTTGTTACTGCACAGAAAATAAATTAAGAAAAAAAAGGTTTTACTATCGATGGATCACAGGGAATTAGTGCAATTTTTAATCATAAACATTTATTTAATACATGAAATATGAAAATGTAATAGAGCCGAAAACGTCTCAATTATAATCGATTGAATGTTTTTAAATGCAATGACAAGTTAATTAATTTTATTTATGAGATTATACCAATTAATCTATTAGAAAATAAGAAAACGGATTAAATTATTTATATTATTAAAAAGATTCGCACTTGAAAGAAAAGTTAGTAAATGGTAATAAGGTTGTATTACTGCAATTTTGACTAAAAAAAAAGAAGACTGTATCTATACTCTAAATCCGTTTTATGCGACCATTTATTACTTGAAACTAAAATATTCAATGTGAAAAGTTAACGTGTCAACCCAATCACATGATTAAAGACTATGATCACACCATTTTAAATTGTATAACTAAATTTTAAATATTTTATATTTTTTTGATTCTATCATTCCTAAAAGTATTGGGACAAGTAATACATACAGGTGTTAATGCTTTTGAAAGTAAAGGAATCGAGAAATACCAAAAATTATTAAACGTTTTGAAGTAGCGAATTTATCATCATTCAGTCACAGCCGTTAATCGCATGATGGGTACAGAATTCACAAGAAATGTCTTTATTTTTCTAAATTTTTGTTTTCAGCATTTTTATTAAATAAAAATTTATATTCATCGTAATAAACTTTTTTATAATTTTTCTTTGTAGAAATTACATATTGTATACAGTTATATTATTTTTTACCATTTTGATATTCACAAATTTTTTTTACTGTGTGAATATAAATACTTTTGACAACACCCGTTGATTGGTATAATTATAATTATCATATATTGTATTTATTCATAATTTTTTACATTTCTAAGAATATATCGATTTTTAATTACTGTCGCTATACCTCATTGTTATGATCTAATTATTTAAAGTTTACTTATTTGTATTATATAATACTTTGATTTACAATTAATGTATGAAAATTAATTGATGCTCGTTGAAAAAATTATATACTCGAATATAATAGTTATATTAACGGTCATACCGTAGTAAATATAAATGTAGCCTCTTCTGGTGTATTATTAAAAATATAAAAAATTTGGGTCCATAAAGTTACGAACATACTCCGACGACAGTAATTAAACATCAGAAAAATGCTCACGTATTCAAGAACTTATAAAAATCTATGAATCTTATAACGATAAACTGCGTTATTAACTATTACTTCAATTTAATTAATGGTTTATTTCAACAATACAATATTTATTTGTTCATTTATGATCAATAATAAAATCGAATGCTCATAAAATGCAGCTCATAATGTCAGAATTATCGTTTAATACTTATATAATGTCAGAATTATCGTTTAATACTTATCAATAACGCAAATATGTTATTTAAAGAAAGGTATATTATTATAAATTGTTAATGAGATCTTTTTCATTTAACTTAATTATAATTATACACGAATTATTATAACTCATTTCTATTATTAATCCGTTCTTCCAGTATTTTTAGATATTTTACATGATTAAAAATTACTGATTGAGATGTATGAATATTTGTTCATTTCGTTAAGGTATAATTTTTCGTTTAACAGAATAAAACTTTTCAATATTATTATTTTTATTTAATTTAAAATAACTATAAATTTCGTTATTTTAAGAAAATTAATCATTCTTCCCTTATTCTATTATATGTATAAAATATCAAATATTCCTATAGCTTGTAGAAGAAATTTTATAGAGAAAAAATAAATTGATGTTTGTTACAATCCAAAGAGTTTATTTTCTTCAAATCTTTATGAATTTTTCTAGCGTTAAATTATATTGACATGGTATATAGATATATAGATATATATTTATGAACCTGAGAGTTGAGACGAAAAATGGTAAACTTTTTAAAAGTTGCATCACGAAATGAAGACCATAGTTCTAGATTTTATTGATCTTAAGTAGGTTTCGTTTTTCTATTTTCACTTTTAGCGCTATCTTTCAAATTTTCATAAAAACCTAAAAAATTAAGCATTTTATTTTATTTATGATCACGAGTGTCCATGCGTGTGCGCTCTGTGTTCATTCTACTTATTACACTTGCGTTTCTCTAAACGTCAGTTTATATGTTGCATCTGTTATATATATATATATATATATATATATATATATGTATGTGTACACTCAACTGACAACTGGCTTAACCTAAAATTTCTCGTAACGTGTCCTGCTGTGCTCAGAACGAATAAGCTATACTTATATGTTTTATGTTTTTGTTTTTTTACACCATAAAAATAATACTGGAATGAGATAAAACACGTGTTAGAAAAAATAGTTAAGAAATTTATTAAACTTGCGTATTATATATATGTTCTAATGTGATACTGAAATTGACAGACACTTGATAACCTTTTGGATTTTTTAACAATTAAATTAGGATAAAAAAAATTAGATAAAAAATTTAACATGTAAAAATTGTAAAAAGTTATGAATTCAAAGTTTTCACAATTATTTTTTAATTCTAATTCATTTATTAAATAACAATTAGTCAAATGTCTGCTGGTTTCATTATGAAGTTTTTATTTGCTTCAAAATTTAATCATCGAGAGTAATTTATTAAATTAAAAATCTTAATTGAATATATGTCTAAAATACATACGGCAAATTATTAATTAATAATATGTATATTTAATTATAGAAATGTCCAAATACAACCGTAGAAAATATTCAACAGAGAATCATCAATCAGGTACAATAAAATTATCTTTTTACATATCATAATGTTATTCATTTTGTAAAAAAAAAAAAAATCTTACTTTTATGAGAAATATTATGAATATTTATTATTATGGACCCTTTTTAATCTGCAGATGCAGCTGCTGACGAAAATTATACTCAAGGGAGAGATCGAACAAGCAATCGTCCTCCTGGATTGAAAGGAAAAGAAATTGGTTTATATTATAGAAATTTAGCAATGAATAAACGAACTGGATCTGCCAATCATTCTTCTAAATCACATTCTGATTCACGTAATTTAAAATATTTTTCACTTGATCCAGCTGTTGAAGAAATAATAAAAAGATCACTTTACAATTCAAATCATCTGTATGATGAAGAAAAGACTTCAAGTGCAGCTGATGATAAGCAACTAATCAAAAATAAATACAACCATATTCGCGATTCAGAATTCAAAAGAAGTTTTTTAAATATTATTTCTGGTAGTATCCAAGAAAAATTGGCAAAATCTGTGTCCATTAACAAAAAATTAGTTTCTAATGAACTAATTGATGAAAAACTGAAAGATGAACAAAAGTTACGTGAATCATCAGATGATTATATTAAAATTATGAACTTTCGAAAAAAACTTCCATCGTTTCAGAAGAAAGAAGAAATATTAGATATTATTAACTCAAGTCAAGTCGTGGTAATAAGTGGAGAAACTGGTAAATAATAATTTATCATTAAGAGACATCACTAATGTGAAATTGAAAAAAAATCAATTTTTTTTTACATTTTCCAATAGCTTATCTATCTGAAAATAACATACTAAAATTTTAAGTACGTAGTTAAATAGTTTTTGAGTTGCATCCTATTAAAAGGCTACTTATCGGTCAAAACAGTACGCTACTTTTTTAATGAAACGAGTTTCTGTTAACTTAAAACTACACTTTTCAAACTTGTTGCACTTCTCAACTAACTTGATAGAAAATTATTCAACCGATTTGATTGTTTTCATCTTTTTGAGTACTTTATTTTCTATACAATGATTCTTCAGTTTTTTAATTGTATAAAAATTGTAATTGTAGTATGCCGAAAATTACATTTTTCAGCAAAATACAGACCTTTTTTTTCAACTTTGCCATTTTTTTAAATCTTCACTTTTTTCTATTTTGGGCTATTGTATAGGAAATATCTTTCAATTTAACGCACTTTTTTTTCTTTTTTTATTTCGGGCACAAAAGTTTGCAATCACTGCATCAGTAAGGTAACTTTATTTTAAATCGTTGAAGGGATATCCCATAACTACGAAAATATTGAAAATTTTTATTTGAAAAAAATTGTATGCTTACTTGAAACATCCATAAATTTCAAAACAATCGTTGCAATAGTTTTCATTCAGTAAATTACCGAAAATTAAATTTTTTATTGGATGTTCACACTAGTGATGCCCCTTAATATTTATGATCATTAGTACAAATTATCTGAGGAATAATGAAACTAAATATTATTTGGCTTACAGGTTGTGGAAAAACAACTCAAATACCTCAGTTTATTTTGGATAAAGCAATTGAAGATGGTAACGGTAGTAGAACTAAAATTGTATGTACTCAACCACGAAGAATATCAGCAATATCGGTAGCTGAAAGAATAGCGTATGAAAGAGCTGAAAGGCTTGGAAAATCAGTTGGTTATCAAGTTAGACTTGAAAAATTTTTGTGTCGTGATTATGGAAGTATTTTCTTTTGTACCACTGGTATTTTATTACAGTATATGCAAAGTGATCCAGCTTTGAGTGATTTTTCTCACATAGTTTTAGATGAAATCCATGAAAGAACTACTGAAACTGACTTTATTATTACGCTTTTAAAACAAGTTATTCCCAAAAGACCTGATTTAAAAGTTATTTTAATGAGTGCTACCTTAAATGCAGAACAATTCTCGAAGTATTATGAACGCTGTCCTATTATTCATATACCAGGTTTCACGTATCCCGTATCGAAATTTTATCTAGAAGACATAATTGAAATAACAAGATTTAATTTTCCACCTCCACCAAAATTGCCAACTAATTGGAAAAAACACCTGAAACCTAATAAAGAGATTATGAAAAAAAATGATGATTTCACTGATTTCATTGAACCAGCGTTACGACAAATGGAATCAGATAAATCTTACCCTGCGTATGTAATTAATCAACTTCGAAATCCTACTAGTGAAGAATTATCGTTAGAATTAATACAAGCATTATTAGAACATATTTCTGAAAGTAAAAAACCCGGTGCCATTTTAGTATTTTTACCAGGAATTATGGATATTACAAATTTGAATAAAAATTTGTTGGGAAGTGGGCGGTTTCCTTCTTACAAGTTTCAAATTTACCCTTTACATTCACGACTTCCTACTGTTGAACAGAAATTAATTTTCCAAGTACCACCTGCAGGTGTTCGTAAAATAATTTTAGCTACTGCTATCGCAGAAACATCTATAACTATCGAAGATGTTGTTTATGTTATTGATTGTGGAAAAACAAAATTATCACGATTTGACGTAAATAACAATATTGAAATATTAAAACCTGAATGGATATCATTAGCTAATTGTCAGCAACGTCGGGGTCGAGCAGGACGGTAATATCAGTCATTCCCTTTTAAAAATTCATTATAAATCTTTCATTCTATAAATTTTATTTATTTAATTACTTTTTTTCAATTTTTTTTTTTTTTTTAGTGTTCAGCCAGGTGAATGCTACCATTTATTTTCAAAAGCACGTGAAATGACATTGGACGAATATCCTACTCCCGAGATGTTAAGAACTCCATTAGAGAAAATTATTTTGCAAGTTAAAATATTACTATTAGGACGAGTGGACGTTTTCCTTGGAAGTGTGATTGATCCACCTGATGATAAGGCTATCAAAATAGCTCTCAATTTGTTACGAAATCTCAATGCAATTGATGACAAGGAAAACTTAACTCCATTAGGATATCATCTTGCTCGTCTTCCACTCGATCCACGGACAGGTAAGTGCTAGTAAAACAATTTTATTGCAGTAATTCAGGTACAGTCGAGTCTCGTTGTGAGTCCCATTTATTTTTTTTTTTTTAACCAGACTCGCGATAATATAAGAGAGATACTAATAGGACTCACAACGAGACTCGACTGTATTTCTAATTCGAATATTATGTTTTAGGAAAAATGGTTCTGTGGGCGTCAATGTTTTCATGTGTTGAACCGATATTTGCTATTGCCGCAAGTTTATCTTTTAAAGATGCTTTTTACTGTCCTTTAAATAAAGAACAAGAAGCAAATGACGCCAAAAAGAAGTTAGGCTTAGAACAATTCAGTGATCATATTGCGCTCGCTGAAGCTCTCAGACAATTTGAACAAGGCCTACTTAATAGACAAGCTGGGCGTTTTTGCTCAGATCATTTTTTATCATGGAATATACTCAAATTATTGGTAGAAATGAAACAACAATTTGCTCAACATCTTTATGAAATGAAATTTTTAGATAGCAGTGATCCAAGTGATAAACGCGCCAACAGAAATTCTGATAATTTGGCTGTTATAAAAGCTATTGTTTGCGCTGGTTTATATCCCAACATTGCAACTGTACAGTGAGTTTTTCACGCTATGATTATTTTTCTATTATACATATAAAACAAATAATACTAAACCTGCCAGTTTTTGATCTTCAATTTTTCCTTTATCGGAAAGTTTTTCGATTTTTTGAAAACATAATCAAAATTTTTGTACATTTTTTCCATTTTAATCACTAAATTATTCATATTTTCTATTTTAATCATTTATGATTTTAAATTTACACCCCAAAACTTTTCCTAAAGACTATTGGATTTCTTAAATTTTTGGTTTAAAGAATCATTAATTGATCAGATAGATTAATTTAATTTTAAGCGTATTATGAATACAATTAATTTACTTATTCAGAAACGGTAAGTCATTTTGTAAGCTGAGAACTGTCGAAGATGGAACCGTGAAAATTCATCCTAGTAGCATAAATGCCCGTGCGAATCAACTACCAACCCCGTATATAACTTATTATCTCAAACAAAAATCTACAGCCATATTTTTACATGATACTACTTGCATTACTGAAGCTGCATTGATTTTTGCGACAACGAAGTGTTCAATAAGTATGTTCAATGTTTAAATTATTTATTAAATTGCGCCTATAAACTAAAGCAATAAATTTATGCTTTAGGACCACAAGGAATCAGATGGAGTATTACTCTCAATCAATCAATTTCATTTGTCTGTAAGCAAAGCACTGCAGAAATAATTCAGGTATGATAAAATTAAATTATCCATGTTACATCGCATTTGTACTATTCCTCTTTTCTTTCATATCATACCTGAGATGAAAATATCTATTCCATTTTTAGAATTTTATGATAACACTTTACTAATGAATCAGCATATCCTAAGGAGCAATGCATATTTTTGTAGAAAATTAAATGATCTACAGAAAATACTTTTTTTTATTTCATTTTTATTTTTTTTAAATTTACAGTACGGGTTCAAAAGTTATCGGAGATTAAAATTGAATTTATGAAAAGTATGATGAATTTCACAGGTTGATTTATTTTCACTTGAGAATAAAGGTCTACAAATAAAAAAATTATTAAAATCCATGAGATTTTTTTTAAAATTCTCACTTAATAGTGGATAAATGTATTTTTAAGAGATCATTCTGGTTCCGGCGCTCGAAAAAAAGCGAATATTTATTATTTTTTTACACAGAAACTATTATAGATATTGATGTAAACTTTATTCACCTCAACACACACACACACACACACACACACACACACACACACACAAGGCGACTGCTTGGCCGAGCGGTTTAAGTCTTAAACTGCCGCACAGCAGTCGCTCAGGCGTGGGTTCGAGCCCTGGCAATTGCAATTTTTCTTCTGCGATTTCCGGGGCTTGCTCCCTTGCCGACTGTACCTTGACCAGGTTTCTGTGGTTTTTCCTCGGTCATTGTGCCCCTAAAATAAGCGGGGCACAGGCAAATGCGGGTACAGACTGTAAGCCGGCCACAGCCGCAAAAAACGGAGGGTCCTGTTACAGGACTATATAGGAGGAATAGCTACAGGAGGAAATAGCTACAAGAGTAGCTTGGAGGGGGCCTGGTACTGCGAAGTAATGCTAACGCGGTCCCGCAGTATCAGGTAAAAGAGAGGGGAGGGTTTTAGTGAGTAAGAATCTCACACTACCTGTGTCTTATGAATATTTCCCTCCTCTCGCCCAAA